GGGGTGCGGCGCGGGGCGGGGCCGACGGCGTCTTAAAGGGGCCGCCGGCGGGCCACCTGTTGGCCGTGACCCGAGGCGCCTTCCGCCTGGGCTCCCCGCCTGACATCTGTTGCTCCCAGATCTGCCACCTCGACACTCACACACACACACACACACACATGCACACAGATACATATACACTCACACTCACAAACACACACACACATACATATACACTCACACTCACTCACACACATACACATGCACACAGATACATATACACTCACACTCACACACACACATATACACTCACACACACATGCACACAGATACATATACACTCACACTCACAAACACACACACATATACACTCACACACATGCACACAAATACATATACACTCACACTCACACATACACACACATACACATGCACACAGATACATATACACTCACACACACACTCATACACTTACACTCATATACATGCACACACACATGCACTCACACACATACACACACCCTCACACACACATACACTCTCTACACTCACATGCACACACAGATGCCCGCAGAGGCTGCACTGGAGTCCTGTCCTTCATGACCTTCGAACCCCAGCCCTACTCTAGGGCTGGTCCACCCATCTCTGAGAACACCGGGAATCCTAGAGCTCAAGTCCACCCACCAGGGGGCAGGGACCTGGGCCAGGATGGCCTGGAGGAGGGTCCTGGCTGCACAAGTTCCTAGGCCGCCCCCTGGATGTCACTGCTCCTGGGCAGAAGGACCAGGGCTCCACATTCTGAGCAACCCAGCATCCCAATCAGGACATACCCAGGGTCAGTGGAAGCACAAAGTCCTGCTGGAAAAAGCCAGGGTTGTGTCTGAACCCAGACTGTTCCCCTTAGCTGGGGATTTTTTGACAAATCAAATTAGGTGATTTATAGTACTGATTACAAATAACTCCCCCATTAGGGACAAAAACCCCTAAATACTGGGCACCTACTGTGTGACAGGACAGGCACTGTCCCACCTTTTTTCCTCCGTTTTGGTAATTCTCACAGCAACTCAGGAGGTACTTATTCCTAATTTACAGACTAGCGACTGGGGCTCAGAAGAGGGGAAGTGTCCTACACTTGATCAAGGAGATCACTCTGTCAGGCTCCCTCACTGAAGCACTTTTGTTGTTAGACTTAATGCTTAATGGGTTTGTAACAACACTTCAAAAAGAAAGATCTGCAGCCCTGGCCAGTGTGGCTCAGTGGTTAGAGCGACAACCTATATATCGGAGGGTCTCGGGTTTGATTCCTGGTCAAGGGCACATAGTCGGGTTGCAGGTTCCATCCCTGGCCCCAATTGGGGTGCATGCCAGAGGCAACCAATCAATGTCTCTCGCACACCCATGTTTCCCTCTCTCTCTCCCCCTCCCTTCCACTCTCTCTAAAAACCAATGGGGACAAAAATATATCCTCAGGCAAGGATTAACAACAACAGCAACAAAACAGAAAGAGAGAAATCTGCAAGCTTGAGGCCCCTCACATTTGTAGCTCCTCTGAACCCTCCAGGACCTTCTGTAACGTTTGCTGGGCCCATCCTTTCTCACGTGGCCTGCATTTTGACCTAGCTCGGGTACAACTGCAGCTCCTCTCAGACCCAGCCTGACTTTCAATTTCTCGTAACAGACCAAGGTCAACTAAAGCTCGGGCCCTGTGGCCAATTCAACTCAAAAGCAAGCAACCCTACTGGGCTGTTACAGCTCCAGTGTTACAGTAGCGCCAACCACCAAAGGCTTTGGTGTGAACTGAAAGCGGCTCCTGAAAACACTTACATAGAGAGAAATACCCACCCCCGGCCCCTGGTTGGTCCATTTTCATGCAAATAAGGACTCCAAATTCTCAGCTTGGTCAAAGAGCACTGTCCTGATTGGTCGGAATGGAGTTGCTCCTATTGCTCAGTGAAAATGCTAATGAGGATGTAGTTGTGCAGCTCTGATTGGGTGGGGAAAGTCTCAGTCCTATTGGCCCAGTTTTGATCCTAGGAGCTCTCTCATAAGGAAGGGTCAGCTCAGCTGGGCTGGGAGACACTGGGGGAAGCCTGGCTGCTGTTTGTAGGTTTTCTCCTGAAATGCAGAGTACATGAGGGACCTTTGTAAACAGTGGCCCCAGACTCTGGTTATTAATTTGAGTCCAATTAACCATGAGGAGTCCTTTTGGGCAGGTATATTCTTCTCAGCGTCAACATCATCGTATTTCTTTATCACAGGTTCAGCTCCTCAAAGCCCATTCCCATCGTCCTGCCAATCCTGTGGTGCAGGCCAGGTAAGGGCCTGGCTAGCATTAGGGGACAGCCAGGTCAAGAATGGAGACTGGCTGAGAGTGGGTCAGCCAAGGTCCTGGCCTGGAGTGGCATGGTGTGGCATGGTCGTGGGCTCCTCAGAGCAGCCGTGAGAGATGAACCATAGGGTCAGAGCAGCTGAAAGTGAGAGCCCCTGCCAACGAAAACTGGGGTGCAATTCCATGCCATGCTTTATCATCCAGTGCAAGGAGAAGTGGGCTCAGGTCAGACCTCCTAACACCTGGACAGGTGTGAACACCCATATGCAGGCCCCTGTCCTTTCCTGCCTTGCAAACTGCTAACAAGCAGTGTCAGCTAGATCATTAATGTCCTTCCCTGCCAAACTAAAGTAAGGTGGCCGCTGTCCCTTCAGTTTCATGGTTAATTTTCCCTCCCTCACAGGCTGTTTGCTAATCAAACTCCACAAAATCTGTAGCCTCTAGCTCCCTTCTCTTCCAAAAATTGATTTCCCCCCAGCAGAGCCCCCAGCTTGGAAATTTGTATTAGTGAACGATACTGTGTGGCTTGGGCATTTCCCAGCCTCACTTTGATGAAGGCTGCCCACTGACTCAGCGTAGGTCCCTCCCCTTCATTCATCCAGCAAACTGAGTGTGACCTGCCATCCCATGTTCCACGAGGAAGGCCTAGGGGGACAAAGATGACTGACTGGGGACACAAAAAAGGAACAGTCAGACAATAAACTCATGAGAGCAGTGCAGCAAGAGGGTTAAAGGTGCCTGTGAGCTCTGGGCACCTTAGAGTGCCAGGGAGGAAGCCCCACCTGGAAGGCCAGCGGTGA